TAGTAGTTCTTTTCCATTTCTTATATTAAGATAACTGCTACTTTATCTAAATTTAGTCTAGTTGGAGACTTAAAAGAGGGCAATGCTAGCTAATAAAGTGGAATGTCAAGCATCTGTTATTGCAAGTAAATGGGTATCGCATTTATTTATCACTTAGAACCATCCTTGAGGCACTTCCAGTTCACTGTGCTAAGCACTGGAGATAAAAATAAATAAGAAAATTTGTATTTAAAGAGACTATGGTCTAGCTTTAGGGGAAAATGCAAAAACCAATAATTTTAGTGTAATGATGTAATTGCCATAACGGAGGTATACACAAGATGGAATGGAAGCCCAGAAAAGGGACACTGCCCAGCCTGGCATTTGAGGAAGACTTTTTGAAGGAGGTGATACCATGGCTGCCTCTTAAAAAAAACGGGTAGGAGATGAGGCTTCCAGGTAGAACATCATGACCATAAGCAAAGGTGAGGGAGACTGGGGAACTACAAGCATTCGATTTTTTATATTACAGAGAGAAAAATATTTTAACAAGTTATCTTTTCGTAAGAAAAGACTAATATTTGAAAAAAGAGGGCTATCTTGGGACCCAGCACAACAACTTCACTCAACCACACAGATAACTCTCCAACATCAGCTTTTGGGGTGACCTTTATTTTAGATGGAGGAAAATTCTTTTATTATATTAAAGGGAAACACATCTAAAAAGGCCTCAAATCACTAAATTTGGATCTGTGACAAAAGAGGAAGAGAACAGTGATGGTCTTGCAAAGCAAAGAGGAGCTTCTAAGATCATGCCTCTCACTCTCTCTCATCATAGTAGCTGGTGACTGAGAGGAGAAACGCTTCTCTGTGTAGCAGCTCATTTGCAAAGGAAGAACTCTGACATTAGTTAAAATGTTGATAGATGTGACAGGTGGTGTGAAGACAAGATGGTGTTGTCAAATTGGAGTGGGAGGCCCCCAGCCTCGTGCCTTGCTTTATATAACCAGTTGATGCAGCATATATTAAACTGCTGAAAAGAGAGTCTTTGATGAGTAAAATATACTTTGAAAGTACAGATTATTATTTTGTGGACTGAACCAAGCCATGATACTCTATGTAAAACATTTCCTTATGCTTAGTGCTTATAAATATCTAAATCTATTATTTGACTTTATCTTAAGCCTTTTTGGTTACCCATAACAGATTTCTCCTCATTCTCTCTTATCTCCAAACTCTCTATTTGATCCCTTTTCTTTGCCTGAAAAATTGCTCAGGGCTCTTCTATTGGGAAATAAATGTGTGTG